GGTCCATTACCACTCATGCTCTTGGGTGAGGCCCTGTATGCTCCTCCCAAATGCATGCCATCACCACCCCTCCCGCCAGAGGGAGGAGCTGCTCCAAATTTGGGATTTCTCATTCCCTCGTTTTTTTTTCCCCTAGTCTTAACTGAAAGATTGGCAGTTCAAATCCAGCCAGAGGCACCTCAGAAGAAAGGCCTGTAGATCTACTTCTGAAAAATCAGCCATTAAAAATCCTATGGAGTACAGTTGTACTCTAACACATGGAATCACCTCAAGTCAGAGTCGACTCAACCACAGCTGGTTAAAACTGGCTACCACACAACGTATGTATTCCTAAATAAGATATTGTTTTGTGGTGCCTGTTTTTGTACTTTATGTAAATGGAATTATGATGTATTATTCTGCAATTTTCTTTTTTCACTTGAAATTTTATCTGTGAGCTCCTTCTACGCTAATAGGTGAGACTATAATGCATTCATTTTCCCTGCTTTGTATCATTTGAGTACATCTAACTTGTACTTCCCTATCTCTTGTAGATGGACACTGGGGGGCTCCAGGCTTGTGCTGGGGAGGACATTACTGCTGTGAACACTCTTGGGCATGTCTGCTGGGGCCATTAGCATGGGGAGATGACTGACCCTAGGCTATGGACACCTGGCTTTCAGCATGTGTTAAATGCTAGAATTAATGAAAAAAGGCTTGAGAGCAATGTATTTAATCTCTAAAATATTTTATCATCTCTTTGTCATTTCCAAGCCCTGGTGGTGCAGTGGTTAAGAGCTCGGCTGCTAACCAAAAGGTCAGCAGTTCGAATCCACCAGCCACTCCTTGGCAACCCTGTGGGGGCAGTTCTACTCTGTCCTATAGGGTCGCTATGAATCAGAATTGACTCAACAGCAATGGGTTTGTTTTTTTTTTTTTTTTGGTTATTGTCATTTACTAAAACAAACCATTGTCAAAAAACAAATTGTGCCAGACAATTTTTAAACAGGTAAGGACAACTTTATTCAGAAAGTAATCCTTTCTCTCTTTCTGAATTACAAAAAAGGTGGAGAGTATTGGAAGGGAGGGGAAGGAAGGAACATTGCAATAGTAGGGAAGGAGACCAACACAGTGGTAAGAGAGGAAGGATTTTCAACATACTAAAGGTCCTTAAGGAACCCTGGTGACGCAGTGGTTAAACACTAAGCTGCTAACCTGAAGGTCGGCACTTCAAACCCACCCAGTGGCTCCTTGGGAGAAAGATGCGGCAGTTTGCTTCCGTAAAGATTACAGCCTTGGAAACCCTATGGGGCACTTCTACTCTGTCCTATAGGGTCGCTATGAGTCAGAATCGACTCCAAGGGATTGGAGAAAGAAGCCACAGAGGAGGCAATGGGTCTACGTGAGTCAGCAGGGAGAGGCAAGCTGCCGTCTGAAGAATTGTACATCAGAACCATCTCACTAGAAAATGAGCTATTTAAATGAGAATGTTACAGGCTTCCTGTAGCAAACTCTTGAATTACCCATTAGTTACCTCCATATTTCCCATTTACAAAATGCTCACCAACGATCGGAGTAAAGTTTAATTTTAACAGCAGTGGAAGCCATTCTGAGGACATGATTTAAGAATTACACTAGAAGAAAATGTAGTGAAATAGCTGATAACATTTTTCGGAATTCAGAGTAATTAGTTCCATCAGAACAAACCTAATTATGTTTCCAATTCTTTCTGACTTGCTGAAAGTACTAAAAGTGAAGCATGTTGGAGTCAGTATTCCTGCTTAAAGGGATCATGGGTCTCAGTGCTGAGACTGGAGAAAGGGGCAAAGGAAGAGGCAGGAGCACAGGACAGCAGGAAGAGGGCAAAGGAAATGAGGCCAAAGGCACGTGGAACGGCCAACAGGCCAGACAGGTCTAGGGGCCAGTGTTGATGAGGGCTGGGAACCAGGTCTTTGGTGGTATCTTGAGGAATTCAAGTAATGTGTGTTTGAGGATGTGTGCACTTTCAAGCTCCAAAGAGATCATGGTAACCAAACTAAACCTACAAGTTCAGTTGTCATTAAGAAAAAAACAGTTGCCATCGATTCCAACTCAATGGCCACTCCATGTGTCAGAGTAGAACTGCTCCGCAGGGTTCTGAAGGGCTAATTTTTCGGAAGTAGATCATCAAGCCTTTCTTCTAAGGCACCTCTGCATGGACTCCAACTTCCAGCCTTTCAGTTCACAGCCAAGCATGTTAACCATTTCCACCACCCAGGGACTCCTCAGCTGGCATACTTACATGTAAATCATTACTATGATCAAATACGAACAAGAGACTTGGTTTGGCCAGCATTTGCTGTGCGCTGTGTTCTCACCGGCCCTCTCTCACTCAATACTTGGCCACACAACCCGGGGACGTAGGTGCTATTACCCGCAGTGAATCGACAAGCTGTGGTTCGGATGGGTTAAGTGACTTGCCCTACCTCACTCTGCCAATAGTGGGCAGTGCAGTTTCCATCATTCAGTGGCCTGAACAAACTGCCTAAGAAGGGAACTTCCCTCCCAAACCTGGACAATCCGTTAGTGCTAGGCAGTCCTTTGTTACAAGGGAAATAGCATCAATAGATGTTATTTTACCCTCTGCCTCACCTCCCACATGGGGTGTTGGTCACCAGGCTGCTCCCCAGCAGTAGACTTTCAGACACTGCAGAGTGAAACATCAACAGGATGAACAAATCCTTCGCTTGCTAATGATGTCCTCCTTGTTAGACTTAAATCCTGTCTGTTAACATGCCAGCAGTTTCTGCTTTTTTTCTCTGCCTTACCAAAAATATCCTCTCAGGATGTTGGTGGACCCCACCCACCACACCTGCATAGGGTGGGGTGATTGCCTTTCTCTGTATCTTCAGCCCAGCCCAGAGCCTGGTGATGCAGGTCCATTGTTTGCTTGGCTGATCAAACACACAAAGGCACCGGTCACATCTCCATGGCACACGAGTATCCCAGCCCGGGCCATCTTTGGGTCTCACGGATACTCCAGAGGCCAGGTCTGGGCCCGCTCAGTGTGATCCGAGGCAGTGTGGAGACGGATCCCTTCTAGGTGTTTGCCAAGGTTTGTCTGAACAGCAGACATGCGTCCCAAGGAGCATGACAACGTCTAGTTGAGGTCAAACAACTGTCAGGAACGTGGGGACAGAAGGTAGCAGTAGCCTGAGGACAGAGATGCAGTCCTGCCCCTTCAGCATGGCTGGGTCACAGCCCATGTGCACCAGCCCTGGGAGCACAACCTAGGGCGCCTCAGACAACAGAAATCTGGGTCCCTGCTCAACTCCCAGGAGTGCTGGTTGGATCTCCACCAGCGACTCACTTTTCCCTTGGGCAAACTCAAATAACTATTCAAGTGGACTGAGGGAGACATTTAAGAAGACTCATTTTCCACCTTGGAACCCCTGGTGGGGTAGTGGTTAAGTGCTATGGCTGTTAACCAAAAGGCTGGCAGTTCAAATCCACCAGGTGCTCCTTGGAAACTCTATGGGGCAGTTCTACTCTGTCCTACAGGGTTGCTATGAGTCGAAAACGACTCGACGGCAGTGTTTTTTTTTTTAAATATTATTTTCCACCTTGAACAAGTCTACACTAGCCTCTACAGCACAAGAATATAAGTAACCTTGAAAAGGTAAGAGGCTTTGGGGAACATGGAGTGAGGGGGTCGGTTTTGCTCCTTATATGCTTAGCACCTAAGGAGTGTACCTGGTGCTCATACATGGTGAATAACCTGACTCCAAAAATCCACTGCTGTTGAGTCAATTCCTACTCACAGTGACCCTACAAGACAGAGTAGAACTGCCCCATAAGGTTTCCAAGGAGCGGCTGGGAGATTCAAACTGCTGACTTTTTGGTTAGCAGCCAAAGCTCTTAACCACTGTGCCACTAGGGCTCCTCAATTTGGGGCAAAACTCAGAACTATAGTGAAGGAGCTTTCTGAAAAGTACACACAGCACAAATTTACATCAACACCAAGGTTCTGGCACCCCTCCCTGCACCCCTTAAGAGACTGAATATACAAATGGACAAAGACCAGACTACAAATAAAAATAGAATCTGACCCACACCTACAGCAACCAGTTTAGGAAGTTGAATCATCATCTGCAGCTGCCAATCTAGGAAGCCAGACAACAACCATGTAACAATGGGCCCAAAATGGCCAGGACCAACAGATCCTTAATTTCTGTCCTTGCCTTCCAACTTGGGACCAACAACCAATCACAGATGAAGTTCTGCTTCTAGTTAGCCTGCCTCCACCTTCCTCACGCCAACAGCATCTAATCCAGGCATACCTTTTTTTCCACCACACAGCTTTTCCACGCATCTGCCTGCCTGAGTCTGCCAAACGCAAGTGAAGGTGGCTGACTCCTTTGCCACCCCAAGTTCTGAATACATAGCCTGTCCATTCTTGCTTGGTTGCTGTTTGTCTATTTCCATATCAACATCAAGTCTCAACCTGCCACAGCATCTGAGCAGTGTGGGTGCCATGTCGGTGTGCAATCAGGAAACAAACCCCATCTGGAGCATTTCAAACATAACACCAGACATTGGTCACATGAGGTAGAAGAGTTGAGAAGTCAAGTGGGTTGTGGGGTAACCCAGGTGCCAAAGGCTCACCAGGACCCAATCACCCTAGGCTGGAGGGACAAAAAGAGGCAGCAAGGGCTGGGGTCCCTTGGGTCTCCCCACAAAGAGGCAACTGGGCCAGAGGCATCACTAAGACTAAGAGCGGGAACACCTGGATTCTCCTTTCCTCCCACTCTCTCATCTCCCAGGCAGGGCCTCCCTATGGCTAAACCCAAATGGAAGCAAAAGAATATGGAAACTGGGAGTGCAGCCTGAAGGGTCTGTGGGGGCCAGGGGTGGATTGGGACCAGCAAGGTGGGGGCCAGCGCAGTGGGCTGCCTCTATCAACCTAGAATTGTGTTATCCAGCCCACAGGGACTTCGATCAAGCCCAGTCTAGTACTAGCAGTATGGAGAATGGACCGGATAACTACCCTAGTGTAATAGTGATGCAGAAGTTTCCACAAATTTAGCTGACTATAATTTGGAAACTATATATACATATTTATGTTTGCATTTATTTTTTAAACTCCTGATATCTGCTCCTTTGGTTTTTCACAGTCTCATTATAAGTGGTATACAGATTTTTTAAAATATACATTTTGTCAGGAAATATATTTTCTGACGCTATTAGCAGATTTCTTGTTTTGTGACATTAAATCTGACAAGAATTTAAAGGTCTAAAAATTTTCCCTAGGACTATTTCAACTATTCAGAGGAATGTTCTTGAAGAAAACCTAGATCATGCTAATGTAGTTGGAAACACTCTAATGAAGCTTAAATGTAGTTAAAACATGACTCCTTGCCTCTGAAATGCAATCAAATTCTTATATATAAAATATGCTCGAAATCATACAAAAGGAGATTCTGGACAATTATTTTATTAGCGCAACAGCTTGTCTTTGGAGAATCAGGCAGGCTAGGACGTCAGGCTTTCCTGAGGCATTTCTTTATGAAATAGCCCACCAGTATCTGTGGCCGCTGCTGGTACTCCTTGAGCACCTCATGTGGGCTGTTGATCTGGTCTCCGTCCAGTCGGTTGAGCAGGGTGACACACACCACGGCCGCTGCACCAGGAAAGAGGGCCACACTGGGTCAAAGGCATGTGGGCTTCTAATTTAGCTCACTGAGAGGGAATCGAGTAACAGCTAACACTGTGGAGGAGACACCCACTTATCCCCTCAGGAAAGTAGGCAGACAGTTCAGACACTTACAAAGTTCTGACATCAGACAACGATACACAGTGTTGGAAGATACAGAGTAAGGAAAGGCACTGGGTCCTGGACATTTGGAAGTCTCTTTCTTCCACCATGCTGCCCTGTTATTCCTATTCTCCCCTTGCAGTGGTTAAGGACTTGGCTGTTAACTGAAAGGTCAGCAGTTTGAAACCACCACCCAGTCACTCCACGGGAGAAAGATGTGGCAGTCTGCTTCCGTAAAGATTACACCTTGGAAACCCCATGGGGCACTTCTACTCTGTCCTATAGGGTTGCTATGAGTCAGAATCGACTTGATGACAACAGGTAGTAATAATAGTAAAGGTCCTTAGGGGGAGGTTAAACAATGGGGTCTATCGGTCACATGGAGTTATCTCCCAAGTCTACTGTGAAGGGTAGTTGAATCTGTTCCAACTGGATTCTGGAAAGGCCAGGGAAAGAGGGAGGTCAGGGCCTCCCTCGAGACAGGAAGAAGCCTGTCTAGGGTTTAGTCAAGCTGAGGAATGTTAAGTCCATCATTCTTTTCATTTCTGGTCAGAGGCGATATTATTGTCACTGCTGAGACTGCCTGAGGGACTGGAGGAAGGGGCCACAGAGGAGGCAATGGGCCCAGGCGAGTCATCAGGGAGAGGCAAGCTGCCACCTGAAGAACTCTACATCAGAACCACCTCACTAGAAAATGAGCTATTTAAATGAGAATGCTACAGGCTTCCCAATGAAATTACCAAGCATATTCCAGGACCAGCTCAAGGCTGCCCTCCTCAACTTAAGAAAGGCAAATCCGGGCCGAGGTTTACACATGGAAGGCAGAGCTGAACTTTGAAGGAGGAATAGGAACTTGGGGGAACAACTAATCACAATTCAGAAATGCAAGAAAATCTGAAAACCAAGCTTGTTGGAGGGTTGGTGGCAATCTCGTTTGGCAGGAAACGGCCTGACCTTAGGTGGGTCTTCCTACAGTCCTTCCTTGTCCCACTCAGTGGTGTGGAAAGTTACTGCAGAGATGTTGGGAACATTGCATTTTATCATTTCACAATAACCACAAGATGTTTGAGCACAGGGGTGTTGTGACTCCACCTCTTTCAGAAACGTGATGTTATAGACTGAATTATGCCCTCAAAAATATCTGTGGGATTCCTAACTCCTATATCTGTGGATGTAATTCCATTCGAGATTAGAGGTTTCTTCGTTATGTTAGTGAGGTCATATCAGTGTAGGGTGTGTCTTAAACCTACTCACTTTTGGGATATAAAATGAGCAAATTAGGCACAAAAAAGCAAGCACAAAGGGAGGGGACAATACATGCCACACGGAGATTGCCAAGGAATCAAGGAATGCCGGATCTACATACACTGAAAGACACTGTCCCCCAGAGATGACAGAGAGAGCTGATGCCCTAAATTTGGACATCTAGCCTTCTAAGACACATGACCTGAGGAGCTGGGGGGCAGAAGTCAGATAGTGGCTGTGGGAGGCCCAGAAGGGAGGCCTTGGCAATCACACTGGAGAAGAACAGCCAGACGGGAGCTAGCCCAGTGGAGACAAAGAGAAGAAGATGGAGCTTTGAGGCCAAGAAAACGCCTGCCTACCTCGGAGGCCACAAGCACTGCACAAAGCGGCAAAGACTGAGGATTCCATCTCGATGTTCCGGATGCCGGCAGCATAGGCTGCCCTCAAGTACTCCTGCTTGTCCTTTTCCGTGTATGTGCAGACAGCACCATCCAGGCGGCCTTGACCTGCAGCACACATGAAGACACGGAAACTTGTGATCTGGGCACCCTGAGTACACACATGACATGAGCGCCTACCTCACACCACACTCTGGACAGAGGCAGGTGAGGTCCACCCAGTTCCTGTCCACTCATGAACAGACCATTATGACCAACCATCGTGACTGAAGGCAGGAGCACCATATCATGGAAACACCAAAGCAGGAAGACCGACCCATGATTGCGAGGATTAGTGGAGGCGCCCTGGATGAGCAGCACCTCCGTGAACACTCCTCCGTCCATCTCACCTTCATAGAAATCCAAGGTGCACATTGTGTTCCCCACAACCGTAGGGAACTCATCCAACTCTTTGGAACACCGTGTCAACTCCTGTGCTAGCTGGTCATCGAGATGTGTGCTCCGAATGATCCGCTTCCCCAGGACAATCTGCTCAAATTCGGGCTTGAAGCAGGCATCCACTGCTTGTTGCGTGATGACCACAGAGCCAGGCTCCAGACCTGAAGCAAGAGGCAGGCATCGTGGCCATCAGGGTAGACCCGGGGCCACAGTGGGAGCAGGGAAAAAAGGAAAATGATTCATCTACAAACTAAAATATTGGACACATTCAGCATGGCTCTAAAAGGAAATATCCAACGACGCATTTTCCCCATTAAAAATATTTCTTTCTGATTATAAATGTAAGTAACACATAATCATTATGGAAAATATGGAAGAGAAAAGCACAAAGAAGAAATAAAAACATCCAGGAACCTCACTTTGCTTTATTAAATGTTTCTGTGACTTTCCAGTCATTATTTTTAATTGCTGCTGGCACTCCACCATACGACTTACCATCATTTATTTACTTGATCTCTTTTTTGTAACTTTTTATTATTTAAGATTTCAAACAAATATGAAAGTAGACAAGAATATTATAGTGAACACCTACATACCCCTAAATTCAGCTTCAACCATTACCTACTCCTGGGCAGCCTGGTTTTCCTCTGATTTATGCAAAATTGGGGTCCCAGTTTGCATCTGTCTTCTGGGCATATCTTTCTGAATTATGTTCATGTTTGTAGGACATTAGTCTTTTCCTTACTCTGTTTCTTACAATAACTTTGTATGGGATTTGATCATAATCCTTTCCTGATACTTATTTAATATGAAATCCATTTCCCAAACATTCAGGAAGGAGGAGCAGGTCAGGAGAGCTTTTCTAGAGCTTCCTTGTCAGTTGTTTTCATGAAACCTTAAAAAATATGGCCAAATGCTCAGTTCTTCTGGCTCTGTTCTGCTTCCCCAAGTGCATATCTAGATGTTCTCTTCTTCCTCCCACTCTGGTCCCAGTTTTGCTCAAAGTAGAGTCTACTCTCAGCACTTACTCCCAGCTTTGAGGTTTGCCTTGGAAGAGAGTGTCAGCTGATTGCTTTCATGAATTCATAGGGTCAAGGAGGGTTAAGTTGTCCCTGGGTAGTGCAAACAGTTAACATGCTTGGCTGCTAACAGAAAGGTTGGAGATTGGAGTTCAATGAAAGGCATCTAAAAAAAAAAGCCCTGGTGATCTACTTCCAAAAAATAAGCCACTGAAAACCACATGGAGCATGGTTCTACTCTGACACACATGGGGTCTCCATGAGTCAGAGTCAACTGGACGACTTTCAAGTCCCTTTAGAACAAGGCATGGCCCCTGCAGCCACCCTAGAATTGAAATGTACAAAAGCCCCACCCCGCATCAGTTGCTGTTGTCAAATGGAGCCTCTGTAGCCTCCTAGAAGGCTCTGTTGGTTACTGTGGAATTTTTCTGTCCTTAGGCCTCTCAGACGCAGAGCTGCCCTGTGCTTCCTTCTGTGCAGACCATGTAGCTGTCTGTCCTTACCACTCATATGTTGGGATTTGTGGGCATACAATATCAAGTTCTGTCATCAGTGTTGCCCAGGGGTTTGGAATTTTGCTTTCTAGTTGCTCTGTCCATTTATACTGGACAATTTAGCAAGATTCAAAATCTATACTACCACCTCCAGAATTCATTCTGATAGATTTTTGTTAATAATTTATTTTTGTTGTTGTTGAGAATATACACAGCAGAACATATACCAATTCAACAATTTCTACATGTATAATTCAGTGACATTGATTACTTTCTTCAAGTTGTGCATCCATTCTCACACTCCTTTTCTGAGTTGTTCCCCCATTAACATAAACTCACTGCCCCCAAAGCTTCCTATCTAATGTTTAGAGTTGCTGTTGTCAACTTGATACCATATAGATAAGATCTTAAAAGAGCACAATGGTCAAAGCAGACATTCTTTACTAGTTAAGCTAAACTACTGTTTGGTTTTCAGAAGATTTCAGGGAATATTTTTGGTTTAAGGTTTAAAGATTACTTTAGGGCAATAGTTTGAGGGATTCATCCAGCCTTCATGGCTCCAGAAAATCTGGATTCCATGAAATATTGAAATTCCATTCTGTATTTTCCCCCTTTTGATCAGGAATATTCTATAGAATCTTTGATCAAAATGTTCAGTAATGGTAGCTAGGCACTTTGCAGTTTTTCTGGTTTCATGGCCAAGGGGGCCATTGTTCATGGAGGCAAGTAGCCACGTATTCCATTTCGTCCTATTACTGACTCTCCTTCTTCCTCTGTTGCTCCAGGTGAATAGATACTAATTGTTGTACCTTGGATGGCCACTTGCAAGCTTTTAAGTCCCCAGCCACTACACAATAAAAATCCCTCCAAAGTGGACATTATGCTGAGTGAAATAAGTCAATCACAAAAGGACAAATATCGTATGAGACCTCTACAGTAAAAACTCATGTAAAAGTTTACACACAAAAAGAAATATCTTTGTTGGTTACAAGGGATGAGAGGGGTGGGGGAGGGAACTAAATAGACAATAGATAACTGGTAACTTTGGTGAAGGGTACGACAATACACAATACTGGGGAAGCCAGCACAACTTGTACAAGGAAACGTCATGGAAGCTCCATAGACACATCCAAACTCCCTGAGGGACTGAATTGCCGGGTGGAGGGCTGTGGGGACCATGGTCTCAGGGAACATCTAGCTCAATTGGCATAACACAGTTTATAAAGACAATGTTCTACATTCTACCTTGGTAAGTAGTGTCTGGGGTCTTAAAAGCCTGTGAGCAGCCATCTAAGATACTCTACTGGTCTCACCCCTTCAGGAGCAATAGAGAATGAAGAGAACAAGATACAAGGAAAAGATTAGTCCAAAGGACTAATGGACTACAGCTACCATGGCCTCCACCAGACTGAGTGCAGTACAGCTAGATGGTGCCCAGCTACCACCACGGACTGCTCTGACTGGGATCACAATAGAGGGTCCTGAACAGAGCTGGAAAATAATGTAGAACAAAATTCTAACTCACAAAAAAAAAAAAGACCAGATTTACTGGCCTGACAGACTGGAGAAACCCCAAGAGTATGGACCCCGGACACCCTTTTAGCTCAGTGGGGAAGTCACTCCTGAAGTTCACCGTTCAGCCAGGGATTGGACAGCCTCATAAAACAGAATGGGACTAGTGAGGCACAGCAGTCCAGGGACAAGGACTAGAAGTCAGGAGGGGACAAGAAAGCTGGTGATAGGGAACCCAAGGTTGAGAAGGGACAGTGTTGACATGTTGTGGGGTTGTTAACCATTGTCATAGGGCAATATGTGTACTAACTGTTTAATAAGAAACTATTTGTTCTGCAAACCTTCACCTAAGGTACAAAAAAAAAAAAAGAATTATCTATGTGAGATCAAATTGACAACAGCAACTCAAAAGGTCTGATGGGAAGGCCTAGGGGGAAGTGAGTTGAAGATAATGGTGATGGAATAATTTTGAAAAGGATAGTGAGAATAGCAGCACAATGGGAAGAATGTAATCTATGTCACTGAACTATACATGTAGAAACTCTTGAAATGGTGTAACTTTGGCTATGTATATTTTCACCAAAAAAAAGGTCTTCGAAAGTCAAGAAGGGAGAGTGTTGACATGTTGCGGGGTTGTTAACCAATGTCATAAAACAATATGTGTACTGACTCTTTTATGAATACAGACCATATGTTGAGACACAAAGCAAGTATCAATATATTTAAAAGGATGAAAGAAGAGTATGTTCTCTGATCACAGATTAAATTTGGAATCAATAACAGAAAAAAAAAACTAACACTTAAGCTCCTCAAAGAGATCCAGAAAACACAGAAAAAAACCTAGAAAAATTAGTGAAAACAATAGAAGAACAAAATGACAAACTCAGTAGAGAAATAGAAACTGTACAAAAACAACAACTAGAAATTCAGAAGCTTAACAATAAAATATCATAAACAAACAACTCAATGGAAGGACACAGAAGTAGAATTAATCAATGGAAGAAAGAACCAGCAAAATAAAGGACAAATTCCTTGATACTACATTTGTTTAAGGAACAAGCAGAAAAAAATACTGAAGAAAAATGAAGACAGACTAAGGGTTATTTCGGACATCATCAAGAAGAATAATATAAGCATACGAGGAATCCCAGATGGGGGAGAGAGAAAAAAGAGTACAGACAGAAGTTTTGAAGACATAATGGCAGAAAACTTCCTAAATATCATGAAAGATGAGATTTTCATCTAAGGCGCTCAATGAACCCCATACAGGAGACACCTAAAAAGAAAATCCCCAAAACATACATAATGAAACCTCCCAGAACCAAAGACAAAAAATTTTGAAAGCAGCTTGAGAAAAGCAAAATGTCACTTGCAAAGGGGTCTCAATAAGACTAAGCACTGATTTCTCATCAGAAACAATGCATTCAAACTGCTGACATTTTGGTTAGCAGCCAAGGTCTTACTTAACCACTGTGCCACCAGGGCTCTAAGAATCATATATCCAGCAAAATTGTCTTTCACAAATGAGGGCAAAATTTGGACATTCCCAGATAAGCAGAAATTAAGAGAATTTGTAACCACCTTCCCAGTCCTACAAGAAATATTAAAAGAAATTCTTTGGATAGAAAACTAATGACATCGGACAACATCCTGAGATAAAGACACATGACAGCACCACCTAGATACCAAGCCATGTAAAGATTCCACAAAAGTAAAATAAAGCTAAAAAACTGATTAAACAGAACCAGAGATATAAAGACGGAAACGATAACTTCATAACAAAAGGGGGAATGGATAGTGTAGTTATAGAACTTCCATTCCATATGGATAGGAAGTCAAAGCAATCTCAAGATATAACAGACTGTTTTAAATATAGGATAATAAATGTAAACTTGAGGGTAACCACAAAGAAAAGTAATAAATCTACTCAACAAAATAAGAATAAAAAAGACTCAGTGAACACAAAAACACCAATAACAAATGAAATGAAAAGAAAATCCACATACCAAAACAATTCAACATAGAAAGTAAAGAACAAAGAAACAATTAACACCACAAAAAAAGTGTTAACAAAATGGTGCTGTAAATACATACTTATTGATAATCACACTGAGTATAAATGGATTAAATGCACCAGTCAAGAGGCAGAGAGTGACAGAATGGAAAAAAAGCATGACCCGTCAATATGTTGTCTACAAGAGACACATCTTAGACACAAAGACAAAACAGGATAAAAATCAAAGGATGGAAAAAATATAAACCAAGCAAACTGTAACCAAAAGAGAGCAGGAGTGGCAATATTAATATCTGACAAAATAGAATTTAAGTCAAAATCCATTATAAGAGACAAAGAAGAACATTATATTATGATTAAAGGGTCAATTCACCAAGAAGACATAACAATAACAAATATCTATGCACCCAATGACAGAGCTCCAAAATTTTTAAAATAAACATTCAAGCGACCATCTTTTCAAGCGATGGTTGGTGGCTAGATCATTAGCCAGTAGAGAGATGCAAATCAAAACTACAGTGAGATACTACCTCACCCCTCCAAAAATGTCACTGATCCAAAAAGAAAACAACAAATGCTGGTGAGGCTGTGAGGAGATTGCAACCCTTATCTACTGCTGGTGGGATTGTAAAATGGTACAACCACTATGGAAAATGGTAGCACTTCCTCAAAAAGCTAGAAATTGAAATGCTAATGATCCCGCAACCTCACTCCTAGGTATATACCCCAGAGATCTAATAGCAGTAATACAAACAGACATATGCACACCTATGTTCATTGCAGTATTCCTCATGATAGGAAAAAGATGGAATCAATGTAAATGTCCATCAACTGCTGAATGGATAAACACAATGTGGTATGTACATACAATGGAATAGTACACAGCTATAAAGAATAATGATGAGTTTATGAAATATATCATGGATGAATCTGGAGGACATCATGCTGACTGAAATAAGTCAAGCACAAAAGGACAAATATTATATGATCACACTTTTATAAAAAGACCTAAATAGTTCTTTTGTGGTTACCAGGGATGGGAGCAGAGGGAGGGAAAATTACTCTCTAGACAGTAGACACTCGTTATTTTTGATGATGTGAAAGGCAATCTCAAGTGTGGGTGAAATGTGCAGAACTTGAACAAGGTAAATCCTGACACTAATAAATGGAATAACATATACAATTTTGCAACAGCAGTTTACAACCAAAAAATACGTGAGTAGTTACATAGGTAGATATTTACGCATATATGTGTTTAGAAAGGTATACGTGTGTATATACATGTGCATATATAGGTGTATCTGTAGGCCTATATATATATATATATTTGTGTGTGCTGCACATATATTTATATATATAATAAAGCACTTGGGGGCACAGTCACAGATACTTCACAGACATAACCAAATACCTAACAGGACTGGTTTACTGAATTCGAAGCCTTAGTACCACTGTCCCATGGGACGACTCAGTCAATTGGCACAACATAGTCCATAATGTTTATGTTCTACATCCTAGTTTGGCAAGTAGCCTCTGGGGTCTTAAAAGCTTGTGAGTGGCCATCTAATATACAACTGCTGGCTTCTACTTGTCCAGAGCAAAAGAGAAAGAAGAAAAAGACTCAAAGAGGAAACTAGTCTACAGGACGAGCTATGGCTATCCTGAGGTCAGAAGATCTAGAAGGTGCTTGACTACCACTACTGACTGTTCTGACCAGAGACACAATAGACGGTCCCAGATAGAATAAGAGAAAGTCGCACAAAACTCAAATTCTTAAAAAAGGCCAGACTTAACGGGACCACTTGAGACTAGGAACCCTGGAGACTATCACCCAGAGATACCCTTTAAACTTTGAACTGAAACCACTCCTGGAGGTCACCTTTTAGCCAAATAACAGATTGGCTCATAAAATAAACAGTATCATCTGTGGGTACTGTGCTTCCTTAAAAAAAAAAAAAAAAATTTATATGAGACCAAAGAGTCAACGTTTACCTCAAAGCAAAGATGAGAAGATGGGAGGTGGGGAGGAAGCTAGATTAATGGGAACAGAACAACCAGAACGGAAACAATGAGAACACTGATATAATGTGGAAAATCTTACTAATGTCACTGAACAATATGTATAGAAATTGCTAACTGGGAACCTAACTTGCTGTTTAAACTTTTTCAAAAACACAGTAACATATTAAAAAAAAAAAAAAAGGCGGGTAACCCAAAATGGGAGTTTGCAGAGGTGCAAGGTAGTGCCTTTCCACACCCAGTCCTGGGGCCCAGGGATGGAAAATGGGTTGGACAACAACAACAACAAAAAAAAAAACAGCTTCTTTTCATGCTTCCTGTTAAAAAGCTTTCCGAAACAATGCCCAGGCAGAAACACTGTGCTAAATTCCACAGCACACTGGCGCCACTGAAGGGAGGGTCTGCTCCTACTCGGAGCTGTCCTTCACCATTCTGGGATCTGCCAGAGGAAGACAGCCCTCCACAGGCCTTACCTATACCGCCAGAAGTGCCGATGCGGATGATGGTGACATTGGAGCACCTGGCATGGTACAGCAGCTTGATGAGCTCATGTAACATGATCGCGATGGAAGGGATGCCCATGCCATGCTGAAACCAAAAGAGACAGGAAGCGTTGTTACACTCATATCCTGCCTTTGTGCATGTCCTCATGTGCTTTTTATGTGGTGAACCAGTTGCAGTCAAGTCAACTCTAACTTATGGCAACTCCATGTGTGTCTGAGTAAAACTATGCTCCTTTGGATTTTCAATGACTGGTTTTTTGGAAGTAGATCGCCAGTCCTTTCTTCCATGGTATCTCTGGGTGGACTCCAACCTCCAACCATCCAGTTAGCAGCTTAGCCCCACCCAGGGACTCCTTAGGTGATGTATTTCAGTCTAATTATGCCCATCATGGTAGAAATGGAAGATGGACTTCAAAATATAAATTTAAAACTTAATAACATTTTAGGAGACTGACAAGTTTGTACAGAGCTGTCATATATTATCCACCAGATCCACACAGCCTGTGAAATGAGGAGCAGCCAAGGACATGAAGGATCAGCAAGGAAGCAATGTAACAATGTAACAAGCTCCTTCTGGTGTTTAAATGCTGAGGTCCATCAATTCCCTCTCATAGCTACCCTATAGAACAGAGTAGAACTGCTCCTTAGGGTTTCCAAGGCTGTCTTTACAGAAGGAGCCCTGGTGGCACAGTGGTTAAAGCACAGAACTGCTAACTGAAAAGTCAGCAGTTTGAAACCACCAGCAGCTCCACAGGAGAAAGATGTGACAGTCTGTTTCCATAGAGATTTATAGCCTTGGAAACCCTCCTATGGGGTCACTATGAGTTGCAATCAACTTGATGGCAGTGGGTGGATAACTTTTACAGAAACCAACTGCCATATCTTTCTCCCACAGAGGGTCTGATGGGTTCAAACTGCTGACCTTCCAGTTAGCAGCCAAGCACCTATCGACTGCCCCACCAGGGCTCCTTCTGGTGTTTAAAGCCCTGCACAAATGCTCACCCCACACCACCACACCCGCCCTCCCACATATGTTACAGTATTATTCCTTGACTTTTCTCCCCACGCTCTGTGCTGCAGCCAAACTAAGTAACTTGCTGGTCCCTTGGCTCACCCAGTGCCTTCCTGGCTCTGAACACATGTGCCAGCCCTCCCGAGTCTCCCCAGTACACCCTCCTCCCACCCTCCTCTAAAGGCCTTCCCAATGTCACACTTTCCACAAAGTCCCTCCCTGGAACTGTGTCTGCACTTCCCAGGTGCTATTTATGGTACTTCTCTTGTGTATGTAGTAGAATTGTGTGAGTTGGAGAATTTGCCACTGTGTCTTATACTTTGGAAATGCTTACACAGATAATCTGTAACCAAATGTCCTGGTCCACTAATGTGATCCAGATGGCTAATATTGACAGCTAGAAGCCTCTGAAGACGAGAGAGACAGGCATACAAGTGAAGGGAAATCTTTCTTAACTTTAAGTAGCACGTCATTGATATGGTTGTTTACGATGGAAATCAAAACTAGAAAGTAAGATTTCTTTGCTAACACGCTAAAGACTGCTGTCCTCACTCTCATTGCTAAATCAAAATCTGTATGAAATAACTTACTGTGAGGGGCAGAGGGAACTGGGAGGCCTGACGTTTGGGTGAGGCTCTTCTTCAAGGTCCAAGCAGGTTCCCTAAGCCCTGTGCCGACTCTTTCTCTGCACCCACAGCCCTCACACTGTGTAGACCACTGTGCGCATTTGCTGTTTGTCTCTCCTGGAGACTGAGCCCCGAGGGCAGGAGTCTGGGTTTCATTTATCTTTGCATTCCAGCAGCCAGCTCACCTTGCTCCTGGCCTGATACAATGAGCAAGTGTTGAAGGGAGAGACGGCTCTTTCATACTGAAGAGTGTGTGTGTGTCTGTGTAGGGTGAAGGATGGAGGAGCTTACAGAGCCTGAAGCTCGAGCCCAGACATGAGGGGAAGGGTACTCACGCTGACACACAGCACCGGTCCTACTTTATACATGGCATAGCGGTCAGTTCCGGCACAGATGTTGGGATGGTCCGCACCTGGTCGCTCAAGGCCAAGCTCCTGAGCCACGTAGCTGGTGAAGGCTTTTATGCGGGAGGGGCTTCCACCAACACACACAAACTGCCAGACAGAGACTTCATCAGCACAGGAGCAGCCCACCCAGGAACTTGCTAGTAGTGCAAGCAACAGCAGCACCACCCAGGAACTTGCTAGAAGTGCAAGCTCCCTGGCCCTACTCCAGGGGTCTAGCCACCTGCTTTAATAGGCCCTTCTGGTGCTTCTGATGCACACGCAGGCTTGAGAATTTTGCTTGCTGGAATCACTGCAAAGTACAGGGGGCTTCGGCAGTGCAAGGCATTCAGCTGGAAGACCAGACTCTTGTTCTCTCTTTGAGAAAATAAACCCAGGTTCCATGCATGCTCAGCTGCCCTCCATCATCGGGAAAAGCAGCATGGTGTATTAGAAAGAGCCTGGGTTTTGAATGAAATGGTGCGGGCTCCACCTTAGTCCTACCACCTACTAGCTATGCAGCCAGGGCCCCCAAAGCCCATCTGCAAAATGGGGTAATCACCCCAGTTCCACCATCTACTAGTGGTGTTATCAGGGCTCCCACAGCCCATCTGCAAAAGAGAAGTAATAACAGCCACTTCTCAAACTTTGTTTGAGATTCAAATAATAATAATAGTAATTGTGGGCTAAACTTAATGGGCTGAAAGCAGAATTAAAGAATTAAGAGCACATGAATGGAGATTTGTCCCACACAATACGGTCAAAGGAGACAAGGGCTGATGGGACATGCCTCTATGGGTATATTATGATCCCACGTAACAGCAATGGATTCTAGTGTCCCTGGTTCATTCTGATTTTTAACACTAAATGTTAGACCATCTTTGCTCACAGAGATTAGATTTAAAAAAAAAAAAAGGGGGGATGGGAGTAAAATATATATAACAATATTTGCCATTGTAACAATTTTTAAGCATACAATTCAGTGACATTAATGTACATTCACCATGTTGTAAAACCATCACCAATATCTAGTTCCAAAACATTTTCATCACCTCAAACAGAAACTCTACCCATTAATAACACCCAGGGATTAGAGACTTTTAAGAGTCCTGTGTTAGGATAGATCAGGAATCGAAGACCTTGTAGGAAATAAGGACTTGAAGCTAGACTGAGCAAAATAAGACATTGAAGACAATTAATAGAGTGTATCAGTACACATACTAAATTACGAGCAACAGGCACGATGCAATTACTTTTTTACATGCCTAACTCCCCTAGAACATATTTTATATCTTCCTCTTCTATTCTGGAAACCCTGGTGGTGTAGTGGGTAAGAGCCATGGCTGCTAACCAAAAGGTCAGCAGTTTGAATCCACCAGGCACTCCTTGGAAACTCTACGGGGCAGTTCTACTCTGTCCTATAAGGTCACTATGAGTCGGAAGTGACTCAGTGGCAATGAGTTTGGTTTTTTTGGTTTTTCTTCTATTCTACCAATGAAGCACTTGGAAATTTATTTTATATTGTTTCAGTTATATGCTAAATTTGTAATGGATCAATTAGCAATCAGTATGGCAGTACTTAAGATCGTTTTCTTTTGCTCACTAGTGCATACACTTCAAAAACAACAAGTTGATAAACATATAACTTTTTATTAACTTGTAACCTGTCATCTTCTCAACCATCTGAAACGAGGTCTACTTGTATCACAGGACAGGGGGTAGACAAATTCCTAGAACTGAAAGCCTTGCTTTTTACCTTCACATCTCCAAACATAGCTGGGAAATCGTGTGTGCTGGTGCTGAGACTGAAATGGTATAAAACATCTTCTTTCATTGTTGCTAAGTTTGGATTTAAAAGTTGAACGCAGCAGTCACTGTTACAAAACAAAAAAAGCAGACGTTTTTAGAACACCGGTGTCCACTGGCCGACACTATTCCAGAAGTGTCCTCCATTGGCGAGATACATGAGGTGCAGAGTGGGATCAGGGGCACTGCTAGACCCTGGGGACAAGATAACCCTACCTTGCCAACGTGCCTCCTTACCTAGTCTTGTCTCCATTCTTACCCTTTCTCCTTTCTCTTATCCCCTTTTCACTCCCTGGGCCCCTGTTCTGAGTGCAGTCAGGAAGGACTCGGAACAGCACATGAAAGGGCAAAGGTCCAGATGTTAAATCGCCCAGTCACTACTCAAATCAAGTTCATTCAAGACATAAACTTGCTTTTACTCTGTTTTAAAAGTAATATGTTCATCATAGAGAATATGAACAGAAATAGAAGGGAAAAAAGTCACCTCTAATTCTGTCACCCAGTGATAACCATTGTCAGTGTTTAAAATATTCATCCAGGCTTGTCCTATGTCCACATACATAAACATATCCCCATGTCACCATAAATAAAATTACAGCATAATATTCCAATATTGCAGGATGGAGTATAGTCTATTTAACAACTTCTTAATTGTGTGACATTTAGATTGTTTTCACCATTATCAGCAACATGTTCATAATAAATTATAGATAACATTGTGAAGAATGGGAATTCCAGAACACTTCACTGGGCTCACGTGGAACCTGTACACAGACCAAGAGGCAGTCGTATGAACAGAAAAAGGGGATATTGCATGTTTTAAAATCAGGAAAGGTGTGTGTCAGGGTTGTATCCTTTCACAATATGTATTCAATCTGTATGTTGAGCAAATAATCTGAGAAACTGGACTATATGAAGAAGAATGTGGCATCAGGGTTACAGGAAGACTAAGTAACAACCTGCAATATGCAGATGACATAACCTTGCTTGCTGAAAAAAAAGAGGACTTGAAGCACTTACTGAAGAAGATCAAAGACCACAGCCTTCAGTATGGATTACACCTCAATATAAAGAAAACAAAAATCCTCACAACTAGACCAATAAGCAACATCCTGATAAACAGAGAAAATATTGACGTTGTCAAGGATTTCATTTTACTTGGATCCACAATCAACACCCATGGAAGCAGCAGTAAAGAAATCAAACAACATATTGCACTGGGCAAATCTGCTGCAAAAGACCTCTTTAAAATGTTAAAAAGCAAAGATATCACTTTGAGGACTAAGGTGCATGTGACTCAAGCCATAGTATTTCAATGACCTCATATGCATGCGAAAGCTGGGCAATGAATAAAGAAGACTGAAGAACTGATGTCTTTGAATTATGGTGCTGGCAAGGAATATTAACTATACCAAGGACTGCCAGAAGAATGAACAAATCTGTCTTGGAAGAAGTACAACCAGAATGCTCCTCAGAAGCAAGAACCATGAGATTTCATCTCTTGTACTTTGGACGTGCTATCAGGAGAGACCAGTCCTTGGAGAAGGACATCATGCTCGGCAAAGTAAAGGGTCAGGGAAAAAGAGAAAGACCCTCAATGAAATGGACTGACACAGTGGCTGCAACAATGGACTCAAACATAGCAATGATTGTAAGCACGGCGCAGAACTGGGCAGTGTTTCGTTCTGTTGTACACAGGGTCGCTATGAGTGGGAACTGACTTGACAGCACCTAACAACATGAGTGTAAAATGCATACTGGGCTTCAAAAACTTAGTTATCAAAATAACTGGTAGTACTGGTATGATTTTTTATACTGAATACATTTTGAAATGATAATATTTCTTATATATTAAATTAAGTAATGGATTCAAACATATTTAAATGAACTGAAACATCAATGAACTCAAAGAATGTGCAGGATCTGGTAATATTTCATTCTGCTGACATAAGGCTACCATGTTAAATACATTATATTATTAAAATAAATTTTACCTTCTTTTTTTTTTTTAATAAACTTGTGTATGAAGGTTTTTGTGTGGATATCAGTTTTTAAATACTGGCAATAATGTCAAGAAACAGGAACACTCATTCATTGCTGGTGGAAATGCAAAATGGTACAGTCACTTTGCAAGACGATCTGGCAATTTCTTACAGAGCTAAACATAGGCTTACCCTATGGTACAGCAATCACGCTCCTAGGTTTTTACCCAAATGAGATGAAAATGTATATCCTCATAAAAACCTGAACATGAATGTATATATAGCAGCTTTATTCATAATTGCCAAAAATTGGAAGCAACCAAGATGTTCCTGAATGGATAACCTGCGGTACAGCCAAGCAATGGAATATTGTTATTCAGCAGTGAAAAGAAAAAGGCTATCAAGACACAGAAAGAAATGGAGGATCCTTAAGTACATGCTGCTACGTGAAAGAAGCCAGTCTGAAAAAGTTACATACTGTATGATCCCAACTATATGACATTCTAGAAAAGATAGAACTATGGAGACAGTTAAAAGATCAGTGGTTTCCTGGGGGTTGGTGGAGGAAAGATGAATAGGTGGAGCACAGAGGAGTTTTAGGGCAGTGAGACTATGCTGTATGTTACTATAATGGTGGATGCATGACATTGTATATCTGTCAAAATTCATAGAACTGTACAACCCAGAGTGAGCCCTAATGTAAACTACGGACTTTAGTTAATAATAATGTATCAATATTGGCTCAACTATAGCAAATGTAACACACTAATGTAAGATTTTAATAGGGGAAACTGAGGGAGTATATGGCAACTTTCTGTGCAATTTTTCTGTAAACCTAAAGCCTAATAAAGACTATTAAAAAAGAAAAAAGTATCACCAAATCCAAGATTTTCTCTTATGTTTTCTTCTAGAAGTTTTATAGTTTTGCATTTTATATTAAGGCCTATGATCCATTTTGAGTTAATTTTTGTGAAATGTACAAGGCCTGTGCATCGAAGTTCATATTTTTGTATATGGATCTCCAATTATTCCCACAACATTATGAAAAAACTATCCTTTCTCCACTGAATTACCTTTGCATCTTTGTCAAAGATCAGTTGTCTACATTTGTGTGGGTCTATTTCTGAACTCTCTGTTCTGTTCCATTGGTTTATTTGTCTATTCTTTTGTCAATACCACACTCTCTTGATTATTGTAGCTTTACAGTAAGTCTTTAAGTCAAGTAGTGTCTGTCCTCCAACTTTGTTGGTCTTTTCAGTACTGTGTTAGCTAGTCTAGGTCTTTTGCCTTTCCATGTAAGTTTGAAAATCAGTTTGCCAATATCTTCAAAATAGCTTGCTGAGATTTACTGGGATTGCATTGAATCTATAGATCAAGTTGAAAAGAACTGACATCTTAACACTACTTAGTCTTCTAATCTATGAACACGGAATATGTCTCCATTTACGTAGATCTTCGCTGATCTCTTTCAGCAAGGTTTCATAGATTTATGGATCTGAAGCTGAGCACGGATCTTGATGTCATCCCTGCTGAATGACACCTAAAAGCCTGGGAGAAAAGGTGAGGTCCTAGGGAGAGGCTGTGCCATGAAATAAAATACTAAGAACATAGCTAGAAGTCACCAACTAAGAAATGGACAAGAATACTCTTTGTGATACATCACCCAATGGTTTTTAAAGAGAGTGGGTTTGTCTAACAATTAGCCTGGGTCACTGGCCATGAAAGTTTTAGAAAATAAAATCTACATATCGAGGTCTCTAGCCATCCTTTCCACTATGTTCAAATTCCTGATAGCAAACACTGTTATGCATCAAGTGGACACCAAGACTGTTAAAACTTCCCACCTCCATTTCTTCACCATTCACATCCTTCCCCCATTCATGACCACTGGTATATGTGGTTTCCCTCCAACATTTTCTGCCTCTCTGGTTTGTTGGGAAGTTGCTTTCCCACTGACAGTGCTTGCTGCCACAAGGCAGGGGCCTTTATGACAGTCTGAAACTGAAAAAAACAGGCGGGTGCTTCAAATTACTGTTTTTATACGGTATCATATGAGGTGTGTGCATTTGTGGCAGGAAAAATAGAAATTTGGAAAAATTTTTTGAGAATTTTATTTTGGGACACGTATGTCTCAGTGGACTTGGGAGGGACTCTGGTTGTAGAATTTGTGGGACAATGTATGTCCGTCAGGACTCTAAGGGTACGCTTGGCGGGGGGGCAAGGAAAACAAATCCATCCTACCTATCAAAAATTCAGGCACACTCAATGATTCAGCACACTTCCATTAATGAAAACACATGGTATCAACAAAAAATTCAAAGTAGAAAATAACTGGATCTTGAAAGGATTACTCATCCCACCAACTGTACTGAAACTCCTTCTCTCCAATGTCACCAATAACTAAACATGTCATTTCTTAGTCCTCATTCTCCTGTTTGGTCTATAACCTTCAGCACTCCTAACTAGTGTTAACTTTCCCTGAAACTCTGTGTTCCCCTGGTGATGCTGTCCCAGCTCATTCTCCTGCCCACCAGGCTGCTGGTCCTCATTATCACCTCTTGTCTCTACTGAGGAGTCACAGTTATGACCATGGCCCTCTGCTCTGCTCTCTCCCTCAGACAGCTCCTCCATTCTCTTTCTCTCCAGATGATTCTCACCATACCTTGTCTATAGTTTAGTGTAATAATTATTTATATAACTAATAGAACTATAATTATCTCCAGTATCAGAACTTCTTGGAGCCGATGACCATGTCTCATTTATCTCCGAATCCCCACAACACACAGCTGACATACAGCGTTAATAGGTCACTTCCCTGTTTTTGTCTGGCATTTAGCATCAACGGCACAGTTGCCCAAGGCTCCAGAAAACAATGGCTCGCTCTTCTATTTCTATATCCAATTGCTTCATCCTTTCTAATATCCCTCCAGTTTCCCCTTTAGTCCCCTAAAACAGGGTTCAAGTTAACTCACACTTAAACATTGTAAAAAGACTGATATAGGAAAGATATGTAAAAATAAGGGAAGGAGCAAGGGATGGAGGTGGAGAGAGAGAGAGAGAGGGCTGATTGGCTATTATATGGGCAAGTTTTGGGAGAGTTCCAGAAACCCCTGGGCTTATCGATCACCATCAGCACTCCCACTGCGTGCAGCGACTGTGTTGGCAGCTCAACTCACATTGCTGCACCCAAGTAGAGATGCTATAAATCTCGCTCAGAAAGGCCAAGTAAGAAGCCCACGTGTCTGGCCCTGAACACCACATCCTCCCCATTGGGTTACACTGCTCTCCAGCTCACATCCAGAAGTATGTGCAGTTAGGGCAATCCCTAGACTCCCAGAAAGCCTTTTTCTGCAGACCAATCTAAAATCCTGACGATCATAACACAGACACAGCTTCTTAACCCTTTCATGGATGAAATGGTTTTTTGGAAATTCTTTAGTGATGCCGAGTTTTTTCACTAATGGAATGGATGCTGAATCATTGTTTGTTGGAATTTTTTTCTATTATTATTTGAAAAAAAAGTGGTGCCAATTGCCAACAGGACATATCAGTCCCGTGGTGCATCATATTTCCTGGTTACACTTGAGCCATAAAATATCTTCCTCCACTCTCCAAAAATACACACAAAATACTAAATAAACATTGCACTTGCTTCATGTAATTGTTATCAGTTTGATTTAGAGTGGGCCACATCGGCACCATGGTCCATGAAGCACACCACACACACAGGACATATTGGTCCCATGGCCCAGGAAGTGCATCACAAACTGTTTTCACTCCAAAAATAACTCATTTACTTGAATATTTCCAAATGCCAGTAACTGTACCTTCCCAATAACACCAATGAAATAGTAAACATACTTCCAAGCCTTCTTCTCACTGTATAGAAGCCAAAAGACACAAAAGTTTCAGACAATCCCTCCTCCAGGAAGCATCCCGTCATACGCGAACGGCTTTCGACACTCAAATGTGATGCAGACTAACTTCCTTGATTTTTTGGCAGTTGCACCAGTATCCGCCATGAGACCAGAATGCACTAAAGGGGCTCAAATGCCTGCCAATAAACCTCCAGGGGCAGAAAATGTAACACCAGTGTACATATCCCAGGGTCCATGACAATTATTGCTAATGTAATTATGGTTCCTCTTCTCCCTCAGAATGTTATGAATACACACACGTACATCATAGAAGGGCTGATGGGCAGGCATCAACAGGATGTGATTAAGACAACAGGATGTTGACAAAACAGGATGTGATTAGGACAACTTTGCTACCATTTTGAAACAGAAAAGCTGTGTTTTCTCCCGGATTCCAGGAAGAGACAGAGAAGGCAACAGGGTGTAGCCGAAAAGCAGAAATGATATGCAAATTTGACGTGTACCATAGCACATAGTGAACTGGAATGTGCTCTACCTTCCTTTTTAAAGGATCTTAAAATAACAAGTCAAAGACACATTACTGGAAAAAATACTTCTCCAGTCTACACACAATTTCAAGTGATCTTTATCTTGCTTTAGTCCACCATTGTCTTCATTTAGCACACATTCATCGAGTACTACTACATAAACAAAATGTGTGAGAGGCAAAATGAATGGGAACTGATCCCAGGGGTTCGTCAGCAGGAAAAAGAAAACCCCACCAACTGTTACATAAACTGGCCCACATGTCGTCGTTATTGTTAGCTGCTGTCAAGTTGGCGCCTGACTCATGGTGACCCCATGCACAGTGGAACAAAATACTGCCTGGTCCAGCGGCATCCCCCTGATTGCTGTGGATTGGCCCATTGTGACCTATAGGGTTTTCACTGGCCGTTTTTGGAAGTACATTGCCAGGCCTTTCCTCCTAGTCTTAGTCTAGAAGCTCTGCTGAAACCTGTTCTACATCATACCAACATGCAAGCCTCCAGTGAGACAGGTGGTGGCTGCACATGAGGTGGCCTGGCCAGGAATCAAACCTGGGTCTCTTCATGGAAGGTGAAAATTCTACCACTGAACCACCACTTCCCCCTTGCCTTACCCTCAGACCCTATAATTCCATTTCTATGTATTGATTGAAAGAAACGAAATCATATGTCTTCAGAGAGGTACTTATCAATAGACAGCCAACCAGTGCTAGGCCCTGCGCTGGGTGTGGGACTACAAAGATGACTAAGATATGGTTCCTCTCATGGAAAGCATTTGACTTTGGGGTAGAAATGATACTAACAGCTTGTTGTCAGGTGCCATCAACTCGTTTTCGACTCACAGCGATCGCATATGACAGAGTAGAACTGACAGAGTAGAACAGCCCCATGCGGTTTTTTTGGTTGTGATCTTTATGGAACCAGATCGCCAGGTCTTTCCCCCATGGATCTACTGGGTGAGTTTGAATGGCTAACCTGTTGGTTAGCAGCCGAGTGCTTAGCTGTTTGCCCCACCAGGGCCTGTAGGTATTAATTCATTTAATGCTCACAACAACCATATACACTAGGTGTTATTACTCACGTTGTAAAAGTTCAAGGTCACATCCCTAATGAGAGGCCAATGCAGGGCTGTGTCCATAAGTCAGACTTCAGAGCTCTTAATCACTACATTTAATTGGCCCTCTGAAGGCAGAAATGACAAGTGACTAGTTGACAATAAAACAAAATAAAATAATTACAAAACAAAGGGAAGGAGTAACTCTTCATCTTCCCTACTACTCCAGCCTTCACTCCTGTACAAGAGCTTCGCACTGGCTCTCAGCCTCCACCTGACCAGCACCAGTGTGATGGGGAGGGGAGTGGGTAGGTTCAGAAATTGGGGACGGGGCATTTTTGGTTGTCAATGACTGGAAAGCACCAGGGATAATAATAGTCCAATAAAAAAGTTGTCTATTCAGGTGAAGTCCAAAAGGCAGCCAGAAATGCTAAAATGGACATCAGGTAAATGGGGGGAAAAGGAGATAGGATCTTGTCTGTGTGGAATTATGGCCTGGATACGTGGATACCATCTGAGAGTTCAAAAAGGCATCAGAGAGGTCAAAGAGAAATTCCCAATAATTTCTCAGGAGAGAAGTAACAAAAGAGACAGAGGGACAGAGAGGTCAGCATCACGGAGCCTAAACTGTGGGCTTGCAGCAAGGTCATGCACAATAGCAGTGGCAAAGGCAGAGGTGATTGGGCCTGGGGACAGGCCACAGGAGGACCTCCCAGTAACCCCAGCATATGGGTGGACATTGGGTGGTGAGGAAGGCTGGATCCCCCAGGCCTAGCATTTATAGTGAAATTAGATAATCAGTGGATTTAGAAGAACATCTATGTGAGAATCAGGTTTAAGATAAGACATTTTTGTCTTCTAGCAGTGCCCAAGTATAAAAGAGGGGTCATGACAGCCCCATAAAACCAAATGAGACTAACAAGGTGCAGGAGTCCAGTGGCAGGGGCCAGAGAGCAGAAGGGGACAAGGAAGCTGGTGATAGGGAACCCAAGGTTGAGTAAGGATATTGTTGATGTGTTGTGAGATTGTTAACCATTGTCATAGCGCAACATTTGTAGTAACAGTTAAATGAGAAACTATTTTGTTCTGTAAGCCTTCATCTTAAGTGAGAATAACAGCACAATTCGAAGAGCATAGTCAATGTCACTGAACTGTGCATGTAGAAATTTTTGAAATGGTGTATCTTTGGCTATGTGTATTTTCACCAAAAAAAAAAAAAGGTTGAGAAGTTAGAGGATTGATATGTTGTGGGGTTGTTAACCAATGTCATAAAACAACATGTGTACTTCTGTTTCATGAGAAACTATTTGTTCTGTAAGCCTTCACCTGAAATACAATAAAAAAAATAAAATAAAAAAAAAGAGGGGTCATGAGAAGGACAAACTGGAATTATGAAAAACTGCAAAGAAAAAAGGAAAAGATTTAAGATTCAGAACCAAGAAAAAACTGGGAAATATGCAGAAGATTGTTTATTTATGAGTGGTCATATATGAAATAAAACCCTCCTAGACCCAGATTTGGAGCCTTGTGGCACGGTGGTTAAGAGCTTGACTGCTAACCTAAAGGTCGCAGATCGAATCCACCAGCCGCTCCTCGGAAGCCCTATGAGGCAGTTCTACTCTGTCCTATAGGGTCGTTATGTGTCGGAATCAACTCGACAGCAATGGGTAAGTAAGTAAGACCCAGATTTGAGTGCTGACCTGCCTGTTTTTGCGAAAGACAACATAGCAATAGAGAGAGGAGCCGAGACTCCAGCTACTAGACGCTGAGGGCTTTAACTATTGTAATGGTGAATAACTATCATAATGGTGAGCCCTTAGTCTCTGTCATGAGAATCAAGTGTTAACGCATGTGAAGGTCTTAGGAAAATGCTCGCATAAAGTAAGCCCAGTAAACACCATCCAACCAGGCAGCAGTTGGAGCCTTACTTACTCGTGGTGATTTTCAACTTCCTTTGTTTCAGCTCCCGCAGCAGCCATGCTCTAGGACTCTAAGGGGAAAACACAGCACAGAACAGAATGAATCCACTCAACAGGGACCAAGGTCACAGGGATTGTCAGAGAGGCCACACTAACAGATGGAAAGTCCATACAATGGTCAATGTCTTTACATATTTGCATTGTTGTTGTTAGTTGTCATGAGGCAGTTTTGACTCATAGTGACGCAGAGTAGAACTGTGCTCCATAGGGTTTTTACAAGGCTGTGACCTTTCAGCTGCAGATTACCAGGCCTCTGAGTGGGCTTAAACCACCAACCTTTTGGCTAGTACTTGAGCACTTAACCATTTGCACCACCCAGGGACTGCTATGTTTGCATTATATACGTGCGTGTGTGTGCACTTGTACACACACACACACACACACACACACAGGGTTGCTGTTATGGATAGCATTGTGTCCCTAAAAAGATATGTTGAAGTCCTAATCCCTGTACCTGTGAAAATGGCCTTGTGTGGGCAAATAGGGTTCTTCTTTGCAGATGTTAAGTTACCGAAGTCACACTTAACTTCCGTTTTGAAATGGGAATGTGTAGCCTATGAACCACCATTGTATTTTGGAAGCAGATAGTTTGTGCTCTAGGTTTCACAAATCCACAGATGGAGAGGAATTTTACTCCAGGATAGAACACACGCAGAGTCTAACCTATGCTTGATTTAGATGATTCAGGAAATAACACTTCAGATTTAAGAGTGAGTGCTGGAATGGGTTACGACTTTTAGGAAAGTTGGGGTAAGGTGGATGTTTTTTGCAAGTGGGAAGGACCCTGATTTTGGGGACTAAAGGACAGAGTGTTATGGATTGAACCGTGTCTCCCCAAAGGGCGCCCTGAAGTCTTAACCCTTGTACCTGTGAATGTGACCTTGTTTGGGGAAACATGATTTTTGTTTGAAGATATTAAGTTAAATCAATGAAGTCATACCACAGTAGGGTGGGTCCTAATCCTATTCCTTTCTGCATGGCTTCTTACAAAGGAGGACAGAGGGAACAGAGTCACACACAGAAGGAAGACATGTGAGGATCTGTCGACAAACAAAGGAATGCCAAGGATTGCCAGCAGTCACCACAAGGGAGGAGAGAGGCATGGAACAGTTCCTCTCTGAAAGCCCAAGAAGGAATTGCATGGCTGAGACCCTGGTGGCGTAGTGGTTAAGAGTTTGGCTGCTAACCAAAAGGTCAGCAGTTCAAATCCACCAGGCGCTCCTTGGAAACCCTATGGGGCAGTTCTGCTCTGTCCTATAGGGTCGCTTGAGTTGGAATAGACTCGACAGCAATGGGTTTTTTTGGTTTGAGACTCTGGTTAAGATGTCTAGCCTTCAAAACTTTAAGACAATAAAGTCCAATTCTTTAAAACCACCCCCTTTTCGGTATTTTGTTATTACAGCCCTGAGAAACTCAGGCAGCTGCTAGTTTCAGATAAGAGGTAGAAAAAATGTGCCAAAGATGAATGGGCCTGGCACCTCCCCACTTCCTTGTTTCCCAGCATAGAAAGAGTCACCCTTTATTTACTCAACAGACCACACCCAGGGCAGCACCTACCAGAAACTTAACTGTCCTTTTCAGCTATCAAGGTCAGCCCAAGGCAGAGGGAGCAGTCAGGTCAAGGCAGGCAAAGGAACCAGTCTCAGGAAGTGGCTCGGAGGATCTGTCAGGAAGGAAGAGAAGGACTGAGGCTGACAGAAAGGCCAAAGCCCAGTGAAAAAAACTTATATATGCATAGCTGCACAGTTAGTTATTTCTCTGGGGCTCCGTGACAGGAATCTCACTTAAAACCATTGCTCTCTGTGGAGCAGGGCAGAGCTTCGCCAGAGCACTCTGGAGGAGGGTACAGCTAACATTTTGAACTTAGATAAAATTGGCAAGGATTCCCTGAGCCCCTTACCCCTGCGAGGCTCTCAATCCCGCAGAGCCTCGCAGGGTGAGTGTGATCCCACTTTAGAGATGAAGAAAATGAAGCACAGGGTTTAAGGAAGTATCCAAGAATCATAAAGAAGGTCAGGAGAAGAATGTGACTTCGAGCTATTTTTCCCAACCCCAATCCCATTACTTCCATTGCATAATTCTCAACCTTATACTTCACCAATCATTTGCAACACACTACAGTCCCATCAAGCAAAAATCAAAAAGCTTCCTTTTAGAAAAAGATTTATGAGCATATTGTCATAGTACACTGATCATTTTCAGTATATTTTGAAGGCCAGAGAAAATTAGAGTAGTTGGGTCCAGAGCAAATCTTACCACAATTGCTGCCTCATTCCTCATCTCTTGGCTTTTGTTCTCCCTCAACATTTATAAAATGTTTCTTTGAAAATGCCAGCTAAGGGAGCTAAAGAAGGGAATAAGTTTTATGGAGGTTCACCCCTCACCCTGTACCACCAAGGAGGCCAAAGCCAAGCATAGTGTAGGGAAGGACATCTGTGAAGGGCAGAGGCCTTCATGTGTGTGGAGGGAAGGAAGGAGGGAGGAGTTGGTGGGTCGTAATGGAAGTGGATCTTCTATAAGGCCTTATGGAAGGGTCTGAGGCATAGACTCCTGGCCGTAATTTGGGGTCTTTTACAGCATTGAATCCACCACCCATCTGTCAGTTTGATGTACTCTAGTGGTTTGTATGTTGCTATGATGCTGGAAGCTTTACCACCAATATTTCAAATACCAGCAGGATCACCCATAGTGGACAGGTTTCAATGGAGCTTCCTGACTAAGAAAGACTAGGAAAAAAAGCCTGGCAAACTACTTCCAGAAATTAGGCAATGAGAATCCTCTGGATCACAACTGAACATTGTCTGACTTCCTTGGTTTGGACACGTCATCAGGAGGGATTAATCACTGGAGGAGGACATCATATTTGGTGAAGTAGAAGGCCAACAAGAGTGAGGGAGACCCTCGGTGAGATGGATTAGCCCAATAGCTACAACAATGGACTTGAACACGTTGGCAATCTGAGAATGATGCAGGACCAAGCAACGTTTCGTTCTGTTATACATAAGGTCTCTACGAGTTGGAGTCGACTCCATGGCAACTATCTTTCTATCCACCTATATACAGCATCCAGTAAGCAGATTTACACACAGTTGCTTTGCAGAAATCAGGCTTCCAGGAAGTAAACCATTACTGGTAGACTCAGCGAGGCTCCCAGCCCCACCCCCCATCCCCAGCACCCTGCATTCAGGTGGCCCTGGGTTCACTCTCTGGGGTTCTCTCACTCATAGCCATGTCATCCTCACCCGGAATGGGCAGCGTGTTCTATACTCAGATACACTTTCCTGGCCAGGCCACAGACCTTCTCATCTAGATCTCACTTCTCCACTGAAGAGAAGTAGGGCTTTCGTCAGGCAGGCAGTGTTCCCCTATGACAGCAACCTCTCCCAGCACTCTTCTCACCTCTAGCTTTTCCTTTAGGGGTGGGGAACGGTGGAGAGGGTGCAACTCTAGGAGCTCTGGCAGGGGAAGACTTAGAGGCAACTTCCCATGGGGCAGAATCTGAGAGAGCATCCTGAGTCAGAGAATGCCGAGTGCTCCTGGGAAGGCCCCTTAGAGAATCCAGATCTCGTATTTTACAGAAAAGGACAGGAAGCCTAGAGGAAGTGTCTCTGGCTGTGCATTGTAAGGGTGTTTTCTCTTGAGGCTTGGTTGGTTTTCTTTCGTCTGAACCGGAGAAACTTCAGACAGATCAGCTGAGAAAACATTTTTGTCCAATCCTTGCCTATTGCTGTGGTAGCTGAGCTCCTTCCTCTGAGTCACTGCTCCTGGGATGAGCTGCACTGCCCACTTCCACTGCACTCTTAGTACATGTACCTTCTTAGTATGTGTACCTTCTCTCTCCTCCTTCCCAGGATTACTCATCCCCATTCCCAGCCTTAAGCTCTGAATTGGTTTGCACAGAAAATGCCAGACTTATGCAAAACTCTAACTGGAAAGAAACCAAACCAAACCCATTGCTGCTGAGTCAATTCCAACTCATAACTGAAGCATTCCCTGCTAAATACCTTAGGGCAGGTGACCATGGATGCTGATGTGTGATCATCAAACCTAATATCAATCTACTGTATCAATTTATCCCACTTCTCTGACACCAGCTGAGTACATCAGTGCTTCATTCTCTAGCCCCAACCACCAGAGCTAGTTTAGACTGCACAACTTAAAGGGCAGTCCTCCAGACTGCCAAGTCTGCCCAACATGTCAGATGCCAGCTGCAAACTCAGGAGTCTCCATGACACCCTCACTCCTGACCTGCTAGCTACAAATCTGGGGCTTCTCTCTACCTCAGGATGCCAGCCATAAGCTCAGGAGTCTCCAGGGCCCTCCTCATTCCTGACCTCCTGGCTCCCATTACTCCCTTGGGGTCCATAATTGACTAGAATGACTCACGGAACTCAAAAAACCACTATACTTAAGACTAGTTTTATTATAGTGAAAGGATATTTATTTTCTATTATAAAATATTGTATTTCATAATAATTAAAATTATACTTTAAAAAATTATACCGTAACAAAAAGATATTGAAGCAAGAAGAATACAAATGACGAGATACATTTGCTGAGGTATGGGAGGGTTCCCAATGGAAGTTTCCATATCTCAAAAAAGGATGGACGTCTACCACCAACCAGGAAGCCCATGGAACTTCCATGTCCAGAGCCTTTACTGGGTCATCATTATGTAAGCATAATTTATTGTATCATAACTCCCTCCCCTGAGGTTGGGCTTACCTGGTTTGTCTGACCTGTCCAGCCCCTACCTGAGTAGTCTCATTAGCATAAACCCTCAGGTGTGGTCAGAGACCTCATCAAAGACACATCAATCACTGGGGAAGTTCCAAAGTTTTAGAGATTATTTCTCTGGCACCAACCGCAAAGAGCAAATTCTTTGGGTAAACTTAAATTCTTTACCCCACAGCTAATTTTCCTGGGGCATTCATGTTTGCTTGAGGAGTCTTGGCAAATTATTGCTTTTGAGTCTCAAAATAATCCAGACTAGAAGGATAAATTATAGGGCCACCCTCTTTATGTGACAGGCCAGCCCTCTCATTGAAGGGACAAAGAGAAAAAGGAGGTGAAGGAAGAAAGCCCAGTCTCATGTAATTTATTTCCCCTTAGACCAGTTGAGGCAGATGATGGGAACCGAGAGTCATCAATCTCTATGGGCAAAACCTGTTCTTCACCAGGGACTCTTTTTCCCAGAGGCAAGTGGGTGAGTGGTGGGTGGGGACAAGGTACTCAGTATTTTATAAAAGGGGCCCTTTTCGATGAGTAGGAATGAGGAAATAATTTTTGTTTGAATTTCAAGAACGTTTAAGTTTAAAAAAAAAGAAAGAAAGAAAGAAACAATGACTAAAGCTACATTCCTTTTTCCCACCTTCAAAGAAGTGAAGAAATGAGGTCTACTGAGTGTTTAGGTTCCTTTAATATTAAGTCCAAAGTTTGACCGGGTAAGTTTTAGTTTAGAAAAGGGAAGGAAGAGGGGATTCTGGGACCCAGTGTCAGCTAAGGTAGATTCAATTCCAGATCACAGCTAAGTCACCAGACAAAAGGACTGCTTGGTATCCTTTTCATCCCAGAAGAAAACACCTTGGGGAGTGCTTTCTCCCTGCTCTCAGGGCTAGAAAGGACTTCATGGAGATTTTCAAGCATTACCTTTTATCCAGTTTACCTCTGCATCTCTTTTTTAATCTAGGAGAGGTTATCATAGAAATTTAGGGAATACTCCTGATAACTGCTTTTTAAATTGATTTACTGAATTAAAATGATTGTGCATTCTAGACATTTTTCATTCAACAGAAAATATAATTTATTTCTTAATGAAATATATTTGATTTTGTAAAATAGTCTTTCAACTTCATCATTATCTTAGAGCTAATCCCACTGCTGCCTTCCATTTCCTGTTTACTGGTTGGCTGAGAAAAGCCAACTTGCCAAACCTCCTCACTCAGTTTGTCTACTGCAGCCACTGTCCTCCCTCAGGAAAAGCACGTTTTGGTTTCTGCCCTCTCTCTCCTCACCTTGCCAAGACCTGTGGCTATTACTTAACCTCACAGTGAATTCTGGTGCTTGCCAGGGTACTTTTGTTCACTAGGGTGAAAACCTTTTTCTTTTTAGTAATAGATAACTATACAAGGCATAGTGTCTTTAAGATATCAGACAGTGTCAATCATTTCCTACATTAACCATTTACCTTAACTAACAACCTGCCATATGCAGATGATATAACCTTGCTTGCTGAAAGTAAAGAGGACTTACTGGAAGATGAAAGACTACAGCCTTTAGTATGGATTACACCTCAACATAAAACAAAAATCCTCACAACTGGACTGATAAGCAACATCACGATGAATGGAGAAAATATTGAAGTTGTCAAAGATTTCGTTTTACTTGATTCCACAATCAACACCCATGGAAGCAGCGGTCAAGAAATCAAATGATGTATTGCTTGTTCTTGTTCTCTCACTGCCCCCATGCTGCAAAAGACCTCTTTCAAGTGTTGAAAAGCAAAGATGTCAGTTTGAGGACTAAGGTGCGCCTGACCCAAGCCATGGTGTTTTCAATCGTTGCCTCATATGCACGCGAAAGCTGGGCAGTGAATAAGGAAGACCAAAGAAGAGTTGATGCATTTGAATTACGGTGTGTTGGTGAAGAATACTGAATATATCA